CTTATCTAGTTCTTTTTTGAACCCTGTTATGGCCTTGGCCTTCACAACATCCTCTGGCAAGGAGTTCCACAGGTTGACTGTGCATTGTGTGAAGAAATACTTCCTTTTATTTGTTTTAAACCTGCTGCCTATTAATTTCATTTGGTGAGACCCATAACACTCCCTTAAAACCATAAAAGCCACACCTTTGTGCGACATAGTTACATCAATTTAACCCCCCCTGTGTAGACAGTGCTATGTCTGCAGGAGAGCTCCTCCTGTCAACACAGCTATTGCTTCTCAGGGAGTTAACTACACTGATGAGAGAGCTCTCTCCCATCGGCTTAGAGCATCTTTGTTAAAGTGCTACAGCCGATGCAGGGTTTTAAGTGTAGACTTGCCTTAAGTGACTTACCCAAGGTAATACAAGGTGGGTGAGGTAATATCTTTTATTGGGCCAACTTCTGTTGGTGAGAGAGACAAGCTTTTGAGCCACACAGAGCTGTCCTTCAGCTCTGGGAAAAGAGCTCCCAGCATCACAGCAAAGTGCAAGATGGAACAGCTTGTTTAGCATAAGTAGTTAGCACATATTGGAAAGGACCATTCAAGGGAGAGTGGCCTGTTAACACCCGTGTAGTCATAGGACATGAAGAGGGGGTTGGTGGGTTACAGTCGGTCCAATAACCGATATTACCTCAGCCATCTTGTCTCTCTAATATCCTGGGACCGACATGGCTCCAACTACACTGCATACGCAGTCATACAGGCCATTTGTGGTAGAACAGGCCGTTAACACCGTGTCTTCCAAGTCCTAGGTTAGCACTGTAACCACTAGACCATCCTTCCTCTACTCAGTCAGCTATGACCTCTATTAGTGTCACTGCTTGTGAGGGACAAAATTAGTAATGAAAAATGGGAAAGTAGCATCAATCATAGCCACCAAAGGGCCCAGTCCTGTGAGATACTTGTGCGCTTCGGGTAGGGTGGGCAGCACTTGGTTGAACTTTGGCCCCAAAAAAGCTACAAGAGAAACAGTTCATCCCATTCTGATCCACTGACACACATTTATTCGAATAACAAATGATTTACCCTCGTCAAGAGCCCCGCCCTTGGATTTGTGTTGCGGTCCAAATCATTGCATCGCGTGTTTTCATTCTGTTTTACTCTGCTAATAACTCTGATAGTATCCTGAGCACAGACGGTGCTGACTGTGTTCAAAGTCCTCAGTCCTCCACACACCCCGGTGATGGCAGGCAGGGTGTATTACATGGGAAGGGTAATAAGACAGCTCTGCCCCGAAGGAGAGCAGCACTGTGAAAACACCAGGTGTGGTGGTTTGTTTGATGCAAGGCACAAGGGACACTGAGGCATGGGCAGGGCTCTACTCCAGGTGTGAAGAACTAAAGAGGTCATGGGGTGGGGGGAATTTTATATTTCAGGTTGGATGAAAATTAGTTTCTTTATCATCAGAACCTTTTAACCTGCTGTTAATTTTCTTCTTGGCTACAAAAGGCCATTGTTTGGATGAAGTGGGGGAGGCACCATTATAATCTGTAGGAGAGTGCATAGAGGAGAACACCTATGTCTATGACTCTGAGCTGAGACCGCGGATCAGCGGGCCTCTGTGAGCACAAATGCTTATCCCTGAGCTCGCTGCAAGCAGACAGGTTTTCTGCACAGCAGGGGGTCACTAAATGAACTGTGCACTTGGGCCGTGCAAATTCCTTCTTTTCAGTGGCACCTGGAGCTTCCGATGCCTAGAAACCAGTCCATTCCCCTGCATGTGTAATTTTGCGTGTCATTGTCCCTAACTGCATGCTTAAAGTGCGCGCTTTTAAAATGCAGCCCTTTTATCAGCAGTAGGTAGTAGAAGGTTTAATAGGGTGTTTGAATTCCTATAAAATTAATCTGTAGCTTTCTGTGATAGGGGATGGGCAGGGAGCCATGTGGTTCATAGCCAGTGTTGATAAACTCGTTACAGAGGCAGGAAACATTTTCGATTGGAGCAGTGACAAAATAATTTGGAGGGGAGCCATAAAAAGAGTGGATGTGATGCTTCTAGCACAGTGGAGATTGAAATTGCTGGTGTGTGGAAGCAGCGCTGCCAGCTAACATTGACTTAGTGTCTCCGGAGACCTGTAATAGCAAATGCATTTTATTAATGGCAATATTCTTTAGGAAATGCTGAGGCATTGTTGCTAGAGGTGGAACTCTCTTGCAAGTGGGATTGTGTGTGTTGGTTTGGAAACCTTCCAGACCAAGACCTGTTCAATTGAACTTTCTCACCGCTGGGAACGGATCGAAGATCTCATTGTGGCAAGCAGGCTGCCCTAAGACATGATGCTGTCTTCTCAGTGTCCAGTAGTTTGTAGCTGTAACGTCCTTCCTTTTGACTGAGAGTGGAGATACAGCACGTTAGGAACCACTTGCATGGATCGTCATGGGGTTAGAGTGCTAAGCCAGTGGGATGGATAATTTGGCCATTTTTCTGTTGCTTGTTCTTTTTTGACTGTTCATTTACCTTATGATAAACCGTAAGCCTTGTATTATCAGCTATCCAACACCTGCTTTAATGAGTATTCCCTGTTTTTCATCTTTTTCCTCCCCTCTTGGCCTTTGCTGTGTTTCTCTCGTGATTCGTCGCTAATCAGCCCTTGTTCATGATCTTGTTACTGTTAGATCTCTCTGAGTGAATTTTTTGTAACGCAGATTTGGTTGTCAGCTGAAGGCTGCACTACTCATGTCTAGCTATCTAGGTCTGATTCTGCTCTCGTCCATGTTAGTTGGGGTTTGGCTCTTTTGTAGTGCTTTGCTCTTTGTTTTTTACCAGTCATCCCACAGAGATGGAGTTCTGAATGCAAACATGTAAAATACCCATTCTGTTAGAAATTGTGACAAGCCTGAATCAGATCCCCAGGTCTGACTCCTGTTTCTGAATGTTGTGGCAATTTACATTCGGATCCAAATCTGGATCTGAACTTCCTGTCTTGTGCTTACTTCTACAGGGAGCTCTGAACACCCTTGAAGTTAGGTCTTGGCTTATGACTACCTACTCCTGGGAGAATTCTGTGCCAAAAAATTAAAAGTTCTGCGCCAAAACAATAAAAATTCTGCACATAATATTTTAAAATTTTGCAAAATTCTGGAAATTTTATTTGTCAAAATAACACTACATAATCATGCCAGTTTCAATTAGTTTGGTAATTTATTTCAAAATACCTCTCTGTAAATATGTCTGTTACAATACAGACTCGCACAAAAATTTCCCCAGGGGTAGAGAGTTAAAGAAATCCCTGTGACAACCCAGTTCCAGTTTCTTTGCCCCCTGTTCCCCCCCAAAAGCCCAGCCGGGGAGGCCAGACACTCACAACCCCTCCCCATGAGTCCAGCCGTGGGCCCCCCAGCCAATACATCTGAAACCCCCCCCCGAGCCCAGTCGTGGGGGTCCCCCAGCCCAGATACCCACACCGCTTCCCCTCCAGAGTCCAGCTGTGCCCCCCCCCCCCAGCCCAGACACCCGTCCCCCTGACCACCCAGGGATCCAGAAGGAGAAACAGCCAGTTGCTGGGTCCCAGGCTTGTGTGGAGTTTCCTGCGCACTGCCCTCTCCTTCCCTCAGGGCCTGTGGGGAACTGTAGCTGCTAGGAAATTTCTATTCTCTCTCTCTTCCCCCCCCCCCCCCATCCCCGGCAGTGTCTTCTCTGCGTGAGCTGGGCTCTGCTGGGTCTAGCAACCCCTAGTGGCAGCCAGCAGCACTGCAGCCCATTTCTGGGGGAGGGGCAAAGGAAATTATGTGCAAAACCATTAATTTCTGCAAAATTCTGCATTGCGCAGTGGTGCAGAATTCCCACAGGAGTAGACTACCGGAAAATGGCCTCTCTCCCCATGTGCATCCAGGTTAAACAGGGTGGCTGGGTATTCTCAGCAAAAGCCTCCCTTCTTTATGGAAAAGTTCTACAGAACTTAGTAAGGGTGAAATCAGTAGGATGACACTATAAAATTACACTACAAAATTACAGGATCTAAGAACACAAACGAATTTCGATAGGCTTTTAGCCATCATATAGAATGCTATTGCGGGGAGATAATTCTCTATTACATCTTATAAGGTAGTGAAAGCCCATGGGAAAGCTCTTATTTTCTTTAATTTTGTAGGCCTTTTCCTGTGTGTTTACACATCCTATGCGAAGAAGAGTCATTAAGTTTGGTAGGAAGCAGATTCCTACCCGTGCTGAGCCGAGTTCCGCCCCTGGGGTAAGCTGGCTTCAGTGAGATTTGTGCCTGATGATGCTAAGGGCATAACTGCAGTGATATGTGTGACACTTCATGCAGAAGTCTTGGCTAATTGACATACTTGGCCATAGCCATAATTATCAGGTTATGCTCAACACGCCCTACCCCTAGCGAGGGCGAGGGATTGGACAAGGAGCTGCAAGGAACTGGACACCTGTAGCTTGGGTAGGTAAGTGGGTGTCTGGCAGTGTAGGAATAGATGGGCGGATGCTGGAGGGAGTCTGGGGGTAAGTGGGTGGTGCTGGGGTGTCTGAGACAGTAGCTGGGGTGTCTGGGTGGGGTTGTCTGGAAGGCAGGTGCGAGAGCTGCCTCCTGCATACACCTTCCCCAGCAGCGGTGTAGCAACACAGGAGGCAGGCGGTACGTCCAGACTACCCGCCGGATCGGTGGGTAGCGATCGATCTATCGGGGATCGATATATCGCGTCTCGTCTAGACGTGATATATCGATCCCCGAATGCGCTCCCATCGACTCCGGAACTCCACCAGGGCGAGCGGCAGTAGCGGAGTCGACGGGGGAGCCGCGGCCGTCGATCCCGCGCCGTGAGGATGGGAGGTAAGTCGAAATAAGATACGTCGACTTCAGCTACGCTATTCCCGTAGCTGAAGTTGCATATCTTACCTCGACCCCCCCCCCCCCCCCAGTGTAGACCAGCCTTACAAGGCTGTCTGCAGAGCTGGCACTGTAGCCCAGAGGAGACACTGCAGGTCATTCCTGTAGCCCAGTGTAATGGGTGACCTCTCAGCTGTGCGGGAGAGATGTGCGAAGGGGGCTGCCACTTGTGAGTGGCACGTCAGATGCCAGACCCCTGGCAGGGCTGAAGTTTGCGTGTTTATGTCCGATCACGTTAACCGCGAAGTGCCGTGACATCTGTTTGTGTAAATCAGGAGACAACCCAAATGTCTTTTTTCCTTGCAGGGAAGCTGTTGCAGGGGGATTCTCTGGAGCTGAGCTGCAGGGCTGCCTCTGCAAAGGTGACATTAGAGCCGAGCCAAGCCGTGGTGTTGGACTGTAACCTGGCTTCTGTCGAGCAGTTGATCAATATCACGTGGAAGAAGAATGGGTTCCCATTAGTGGAGCAGGAGCACCTTCGTGTGCTTCCAAATGGATCACTCTTCATATCGTCCCCGGCTGCTGCTAAGGAGAGTAAATATCCGGAAGGGACTGCCGCAGAGGGTAATTACTCCTGTGTCTCCCAGAGCACCTTAGGCGCGGTTGCCAGTCAAACGGCTGCAGTTAGATTTTCAAGTAAGTATTTTTCTGGTATTGATACAGACTCTTTGGCCTGGCTTAAGAGTGGAGAAAGAATTGTCTAGGAAAACATGGTTCCTTTAAATGCTGGCAGGCCTCAGAATTGCCTGTAAAATAAGTTACGACGTCGTCGTCTTTTCCCCCCCTCCCAGTTACATTTTAATTTCCCATGGAACCCTTCCAGATTCCCTCCTGACAAGGCCCTCCTGTTCTCAGAAAGCCAGGCTTTTCCTTTGGGACATTATCTTGTCAAGTCCTTTTGTGTCAGGACACACGGTCTGTATACAGAATGCACTGTATTTCCGAAGGCCAGATTCTCAGCTGGCCTAAATCAGTGGGAGTCAATGGAGTTATACCTGCTTACACCATTGAGGATCTGCTACCTTCTAGCAGTTCTTCAGTGACAAAAAGCAGTTCTGTCCTGTGCTAACCTTGTGTCCTTCCTCCTTTAGTCAGTCTCTTGATTGGTTGTTTTTCCCCCAGTGTTATTACAGAAACTGTGGTGCTGGATCTTGTTAAGTTGAATTATACTGGGGTGTGTGTGTGTATGTATGTATGTATGTGTGTATATATATCTATATATATATAAAATAATTATACTGGCACATCCCGAGCTGCACTTTGATTAGCTGTTGATATTAATTAGTGTTACCCAACACATGGCAAGAAGAGTACCTAGGAGAATGACTTACATGGGGCCTGAATAATGAGATCAGAGGTCAAAATATTTTCTTAGCATGTCACCATTCACCTAATTCCTTTGGGATCTGCTAGATAATTAGTACTGCTTTATGCTCATTAAATATGGGGAAGTGAGAGGAGCTGTAGTCTTTGAAAGGTCTATCCTTGCCCCTGAAGATCGTTCTCCTTTTCTTTAGTGTATTCAGCTCACACATTAGCACAAAGGAGGAGTGGGGGGGGAAGTGGGAAAACAATACTCTAGAACAATGGATGCTGAAATAGACTGTGCTGGGGAGCAAGGGAAAGGGAATAAGGTTTGTGCGTGTCTTTGAATAATGCAAAGGCATCAGACATTCTGACTTCTCTTCCTTACCTAAGAATTCCATGCTCTAGATGCAAACTTCTTGCTGTGCCATGGTAGGTCCCATCTCCCTGGGCCCCATATAGAGGTTGATGAGTCTGCTACAGCTGTGGTTAAAAGAGCAGAGGCCTTTTAGCACTGACCATAGAAAACGCAATATTTAAGACTCTGAAGTCCTTGGTTTGTTCCCCACTTGGGTTGGCAACCCACACAGGTGTGTCACGTTACCTGTAACCAGTTAAGCTGTTAGCATTTTATTATAACATGTTTTCTGTCATTGATGGTGGTGATTTTTTTTTTTTAAGTTACCTCTGTGTGTGTCAGTATAGTTCCCTTGGAGTGTGTTGCATTGACGTTTGTGGAGACTGAAGCCCTCTTTGCTCATCTAACCAGTCTAGCACAGGAACTGGAGTCCAAGCTTCTGCTCTCTGTGCCTGTCCAGTGGGACCACCCCACCCCCCGTGGTTGGAGGATCATTTAGACCACATGACTATTCAGTCCTCTCTCCCTCTGTTGCAGTAGCACTAAGGATCTCAATTATTGTCAGTTGTTTGATGGTGGTTTCTATGATGTGGATACTGGAAATTGGACTGACACTTAGGCCTTGCCTACACTACAGGGGGAGATCGATCTAAGTTACGCAACTTCAGCAACGTAGCTGAAGTTGACGTACTTAGATCTACTCACTGCGGGGTCCACATTACACGATGTCGACTGGAGACACTCTCCTGTCGACTCCCCTTGCGCTTCTTGTTCAGGTGGAGTTCAGGAGTCGACGGGAGAGCGATTTGTGTTCGATTTAGTAGGTCTTCATTAGACACACTAAATCGACTGCCGATGCATCGATTGCTGAATGTCGAACTCCTGGTAAGTGTAGACAAGGCCTTAGTGTGTCTTGCTGTGACTGCTTGCTAGCTACCAGATGGAATTTACTGATCTCATAAGAACATAAGAATGGCCATACTGGGTCAGACCAATGGTCCATCTAGTTCAGTATCCTGTCTACTGACAGTGGCCAATGCCAGGTGCCCCAGAGGGAATGAACAGAACCGGGCAATTTGGAGTGATCCATCCCCTGTCGTCCAGTCCCAGCTTTTGGCAATTGGAGGTTTAGGATCAACTGGAGCATGGGGTTGCGTCCCTGACCATCTTGGCTAATAGCCATTGCTGGACCTGTCCTGCATGAGCTTATCTAATTCTTGTTTGAATCCTGTTATACTTTAGTCCTTCACAATATCCCCTGGCAATGAGTTCCACAGATTGACTGTGCATTGTATGAAGAAGCACTTTTGTTTCTTTTAAATCCACTGCTTGTTAATTTCATCGGGTGACCCCAGTTCTCATGTTATGTGAAGGGGTAAATAACATTTCCCTAATCTCTTTCACCACACTGTTCATGGTTTTATAGACCTCGATCATATCCCCCCTTAGTTGTCTCTTTTCTAAGCTGAAGAGTCCCAGTCCTTTTAACCTCTTCTCCTATGGAAGCTGTTCCATATCCCTCATCATTTTTGTTGCCCATCTCTGTACCTTTCCCACTTCTAATATACCTTTTTTGAGATGGGGCGACCAGAACCATACACAGTATTCAATGCATGGGCGTACCATGGATTTATATAGGGGCAATATGATATTTTCTGTCTTATCCATTTCCTAATGGTTCCTAACATTCTGTTCGCTTTTTTGACTGTCGCTGCACATTGAGCAGATGTTTCAGAGAGTTATCCATGATGACTCCAAGATCTCTTTCTTGAGTGGTAACAGCTAATTTAGACCCCATCATTTTGAATATAGTTGGGATTATTTTTTCCAACGTGAATTACTTTGCACTTATCAACATTGAATTTCATCTGCCATTTTTCTGCCAGTCACCCAGTTTTGTGAGATCCCTTTGTAACTCTTTGCAGTCACCATTGAACGTAACTATCTTGAGTAATTTTGCATCATCTGCAAATTTTGCCTCCTTAGTTTTCACACCATATCTCAGATCATTTGTGAATATGTTGAACAGCACAGGTCCCAATACAGATCCTTGGGTGACTCTGCTATTTACCTCTCTTTCTCCATTTTGAAAACTGACCGTTTATTCCTACCCTTTGTTTCCTATATTTTGACCAGTTTCTGCTTTATGAGAGGGCCTTCCCTCTTATCCCATGACTTCTTAGTTTGCTTAGGAGCCGCTGGTGGGGGACTTTGTCAAAGGCTTTCTGAAAGTCCAAGTACACTGTATCAGCTGGCTCACTCTTGTCCACATGCTTGTTGACCTTTACAAAGAGTTCTAATAGCTTGGTGAAGCATGATTTCCCTTTACAAAAGCTGTGTTGACTCTTCCCTAACAAATTGTGTTCATCTATGTGGCTGATGATTCTGTCCTTTACTATCGTTTCAACCAGTTTGCCTGGTACTGAAATTAGGTTAGTGAAGTTTCCAGGATCGCTTCTGGAGCCTTTTGTAAAAATCGGCATCACATTAGCTATCCCCCAATCATCTGGTACAGAGGCTGCTTTAAACAATAGATCACATACCACAGCTAGTAGTTCTGCAATTTCACATTTGAGTTCTTTCAGAACTCTTGGGTGAATCCCATCTGGTCCTGGAGACTTATTCCTATTTAATTTATCAGTTTGTTCCAAAACCTTCTCTGCTGCACCTCAGTCTAGGACTTCATCAGATTTGTCACCGAAAAAAGAATGATTCGTTAGGGATAGCTCAGTGGTTTGAGCATTGGCCTGCTAAACCCAGGGTTGTGAGTTCAATCCTTGAGGGGGCCACTTGGGGAGCTGGGGCAAAATCAGTACTTGGTCCTGCTAGTGAAGGCAGGGGGCTGGACTCGATGACCTTTCAAGGTCCCTTCCACTTCTAGGAGATGGGATATCTCCATTAATTATTATTACTATTTATCTTCCCCTCATCCTGTGCAGTGAAGACTGATGCAAAGAATTCATTTAACTTCTCTGCAAAGACCTTGTCTTTCTTGAGTGCTCCATTTGCACCTTGATCATCCAGTGGCCCCACAGATTGTTTGGCAGGCTTCCAGCTTCTGATGTACTTAATTTTTTTTTGCTGTTAGTTTTTGTGTCTTTAGCTAGTTGCTTTTCCAATTCTCTTTTGGCCAGCCTAATTAACTATCTGGTCCCTCCTCCTAACAGCACTTTTAAGGAACAAGAGGGGCATGATCAGCTCCCCAAAGATTCTGAGATACAGCTATGTGAAGAGCAGCAGGGGAAGAGGTGCATTATAAACTTCATCAGAGCCACAGGCGGTTGAATATGGGCTATCTTTAAACTAGGGCCTCAATCAGCTGAGCTGCGTGTAAGTTATAATGCAGGGATCGAGAACTGCAGGGCGCTTGATATAAGCAGTGTGCATCTGTGGTGGCTGCCTTCTTGGTTATTGCTACGGATTGAACCTGTGTCTCTACAGCTTGAGCTAGTTGATAGATGTAACAGTCGCATCCTCTGGATAGGGCCCAGAGGGGGCACATTGCACACTGTCTCTGTATGGGCTGAGAGGAAGGCATGGGTGAGCGAGGCATCCAGAACAGCAAATGATAATTAATGGGTATGGGAGGTCTCAAAAATGGAAAGAGAAACCACAATGGGATTGAGAGTCTCAAGACAGGGCGGGAAGAACAATTCTGTGAGATCCTGGCACAGGTGGCAACGAAAAAATTTCAGCGAGCTAAAGATCCGGAAGCACCGTTGTAACTGCAAGAAGCCAGATTGTGCACTGGGGTACCACCTGAAGAACTTTCGTGCCCAGAAAGGGTCTCGGCTGCTTCTGTTCTGCTCAGACCTGTAGGATGACCCTCTCTGGGTTCAGGGATCTGCAAGTGTGCTCGGGCTTGGGCCAGTGCACGAACATAACCCCTTCCAGCCCGCAG